GGGTGGGGAGATTTTGAAGCTAGTAAAGTCCACATTGAGACCATTGGGTTGTAGGCTCCCAAGGAATATGAGGTGCTGTTCCTCCAGTTTCTGAGTGGCATCGTTGTGACACTGGAGGAGGCCCAGGATGGACATGTCGTTCAGGAGTGGGAGGCGGAGTTAAAGTGGTTCGCGACTGGAAGGTGTTGTCATTTGTCGTGAACCGAGCATAGGTGCTCTATAAAGTGGTCTCCTAGCCTCCACTTGGTCTCACCGATGTAGAGGAGGCCACATCGGGAACAGTGGATATAATTGACCACATTAGCAGATGAGCAGGTGAACATCTGTTTAATGTGGAAGGTTTTTTTGGGGCCTGGGATGGGGGTGAGGGGGGAGGTGTAGGGGCAGGCGTCGCACCTCCTACAGTTGCAGGGAAAGGCGCCGGGGTAGTGGGGCTAGTGGGCAATGTTGAGTGGATGAGGGAGTCCCGGAGAGCGCGGCCCCTCCAGAAGGCAAATAAGGGTGGGGAGAGAAATATATCCTTTGTAGTGGGGTCAGATTTCAGGTGGCGGAAGTGGCGGAGAATGATGTATTGAATCCGGACATTAATGGGGTGATACGTGAGGACAAGGGGGATTCTGTCTTTGTTTTTATTGCAGGGACGGGGTGTGAGGGCAGAGATGCAGGAAACGCAAGAGATGTGGTCGAAGGCATTTTCGACCACTGAGCGGGGGGTTGTTGCGGTTCTTGAAATACGAGGACATCTGGGATGTTCGGGAGTAGAACACCTCATCTTGGGAGCAGATGCGGCAGGGGCGGAGGAATTGGGAGTAGGGGATCACATTCTTGCAAGAAGTGGGTGAGAGGAGGTGTAGTCAAGGTAGCTGTGGGAGTTGGTGGGCTTGAAATAGATATCAGTTTCGAGATGGTCACCAGAAATGGAGAGAGAGAGGTCCAGGAAGGAGACAGAGGTATCAGAGGTGGTCCAGGTGAACTTGAGGTTGGGGTGGAAGGTGTTAGTAAAGTTGATGAACTGTTCGAGCTCCTCGTTGGTGCACGAACATCTCTGGTTATATCCTGTTCCACTGGTAGGACAGACTTATTGCAGGTAGCAAGACAGTGGTATACATTTGGGAGGGATTTGCCTTTGTAGTCATTTATATTGTCTGTGGATCCCATGAAGTTTCACAGTATCTGGTCACGGGTAAGCACACCTTCTGCTAGTTATCACATATTACCTCCCCTGGGCTGATGAATCAGTTCTCCTCCATGTTGACCAACACATTGATGAGGCACTGAGGGTAGCAAGGACAAAGAATGTATGCTAGTTACGGACTTCAGTTACCTCATTATGCCTTCATTAGATTTAGAGAATGTTCCTTCAGATTGGAATATAGCAAATGTAACTTCTTTACTCAAAAAGGAAGAGGCAGAAAATGGGAAAATACAGCCCAGTTAACTTAACATCTCTCATAGGGAAAACGTTAGAAGCTATTGTTAAAGACATTATAAGAGAGCACGAGACTAAGCTCAACGTAATCAGGCAGAACCAATATGGTTTTGCCAACTACTCATTTATTGTAGTCATTTGAAGAAGTAACTTGTGCTGTTGATAAAAGGGAACCAGTGGATGCATTGTATTTAGACTTCTATATGGCATTTAATTAGTTGCTACATTAAAGGTTATTGCAGAAAATAAAAGCTCACAGTATAGGGGATAACATTAGTATAGGTAAAAGATTGGCTGGCTAACAGGAAACAGACAGTCTGAATAAATGGGTCTTTTTCAGGCTGGCAAGGTTTCATGAGTGGTTTGCAATGGGGGTCTGTGCTGTGGTCAAATGATCATGGGCCCAAATTAGATATTTTCAATTGACCCACAGCCAAAGCAATCAAGCCTGTCAGACACCTAGAAGTCAATGAAGACTCAGTGAAGATTCAGTGAAGACTGCAAGGAAGACTCTTGGTGGAAAACTGTGCATCAACCCAAGAAAACCCAGGAGAAGATCTGCCCTAACCTGCAAGGCCCACCTTCATGGAAGAGAGCCAGCCCAGCTCAATGGCCCAGCTCAAACACGTGGATTATTATGTAATATCTTTTCTCAGACAGAGTTAAATAAAGAGTAAATAGTGTGGGAATTTAGGAAAGGCTCACATGATTTTTTTAATAGGCATATTTTGTTAACAAAATAGAGTTGAACAGCAAACTGAATTCCACGTCCCTTTGTCTGCCTCACCACCAGGAGCACTTGGGTAAAACAAAACTGGTCAAAGTGTGCCACTTAACAATGTGTGATACAGGATAGTCCTGGAACAGATTTAATGACACAAGCCTAGGCATTCATGAGGTGCCTTGGGCCATCAGCAGCAGCATTATACATTACCATCAAGCCAGGGGATCAACTCTGGTTTAATGAAGATTGTAGGAGGGTATGCCCTCAGCAGCACCAAGCATACCTAAAAATGACGTATCAGTCAGGTGAAACTACCAAACAGGACCACTCGCATGTCAACATAAGCAGCACGTGATAGACAGAGCTAAGCAATTGCACAACTACCAAATCAAAGATCTAAGCTCTTCAGTCCTCCAGCCCATTTGTGCATGGTGATAGACAATTAAACAACTCACTGGTGGAGAAGAAGGTTCCACAAATAATACTCATCCTCAATGATGGAGGAGCCCAGCACATTGGTGCATTCACAGCAATCTTCAGCAAGAAGTGCTGAGTGGCTGATCCAACACAGTCTCCTCCTGAGGTCTTCAACTGATGACAGCTTTCAGTCAATTCAATTCACTCCATGTGATATGAAGAAATGGTTAGAAACATTGAATACTGCAAAGGTTATGGGTCCTGTCCACAGTCCAGCAATAGTACTGAGGACTTGTGAACCAGACTTTGCCATGTTTCTAGTGAAGTTGTTCAGCTACACCGCTGGCATCTACTGGGCGCTGCAGAAAACGTCCAAGGTTTTTCACATACACAAAAATCAGGACAAATCCAACACAGCCAACTACAGCTCTTTGGCCTACTCTCAATCAGCAGTAAGGTGATTAAAGTTTTCATCAATATTGCTGTCAAGCAGCTAGTGCATAGCTGTAACCTTCTCATTGGCACTCAGTTGAGGTTCTGTCAGGACCACTGAGCTCCTGATCTCATCACGTCCTTCACTTCAGAATGGACAAAAGAACTGAATTCCAGCACAAAGGAAGATCGTTGTGGTTTTCGGTATCACTCATCTCAGCTCAAGGACATCTCTTCAGGAGTTCCTCAGGATAATGCCTAAGGGTCAACCATTTACAACTGCTTCATCAATGACCTTCTTTCAATTATATCAAAAGTAGGAATATTTATGACCAACTGTGACTCCTCAGATACTGTAACAGTCTGTGTCCATATGTTGCAAGACTAGGAGAATATTCAGGCTTAGAGCGAGATGTGGCAAATGACATCTGCATCACACAAATGTCAGAAAATGATCATGCCCAACAAGAGAAAATCTAACCATCACCTTTTGACAGTCAATGGTAATATCATCACTGAATATCCCATTATTAACAAAAACCAAAAGAACTGTGGATACTGTAAACCAGGAGCAAAAACAAAGTTGCTGGAAAAGCTCAGCAGGTCTGGCAGCATCTGTGGAGGAGAAAACAGAGTTAACGTTTCATGTCCGGTGACCCTTCGCTTGGGAACCCTGCAGCCCAATGGTATCAATGTGGATTTCACAAGTTTCAAAATCTCCCCTCCCCCTACCGCATCCCAAAACCAGTCCAGCTCGTCCCTGCCTCCTTAACCTGTTCTTCCTTCCACCTATCCCCTCCTCCCACCTCAAGCCGCACCTCCATCTCCTACCGACTAACCTCATCCTGCCCCCTTGACCTGTCCGTCCTCCCTGGACTGACCTATCCCCTCCCTAACTCCCCACCTACACTCACCTTTACTGGCCCCATCCCCGCCTCTTCGACCTGTTTGTTTCCTCTCCACCTATCCTCTCCTCTATCCATCTTCTATCCGCCTCCCACTCTCTCCCTATTTATTTCAGAACCCCCTTCCCCTCCCCCTTTTCTGATGAAGGGTGTAGGCCCGAAACGTCAGCCTCTCTGCTCCTATGATGCTGCTTGACCTGCTGTGTTCATCCAGCCCTGCACCTTGTTGTCTCGGATTCACCAGCATCTGCAGTTCCTACTATCCCTTGAGGGAAGTTGGTTTCTGTCTCTCTTCCTTTTGAATAAAGGATTATTACATTTGCTATTTTCCTGTCTAATGGAATCTTCCAACATCTAGGAATTTTGATAAATCAGAGCCAACACATCAACTATCTGACCAACAACTTCTTATAAGATCCTACAATGAAGTGCATCAGAACTTAGGGACTTGTCAACCCACAGCTCCAACAATTTATTCAATATCAGTTCTCTTGGATTGTAATTTTCTTGACTTTTCTCTCTCCTTTCCATTTCCTCATTTACAGCAATTTCTGGTATTTTGCATATCTCCTCTAAGACTGATGAAAATTACCAGTGCAATTCATTGGTCATAGCCCCGTTTTCAATTATTGATTCCCCAGACTCATAATCTTTAGGAGGGCTACTTTGAGGCAATTTAACTCCGAGATCATTAATTAATCCGATCTCACTGCACAATACCAGGCTAAGTACAGCATCCTCTCTGGTCAACTTTAGAACATGCTGCTCTAAGAAAATATGCTGAAAACATTCTATGTGCTCTTTCCTTAGACTATCTTTGCCCATCTGATTTTTCCAGTCTTTACATTGGTTTAAACTGCTGTACTTTTCTGACAAACCCCCAACGTTTCTTCATTTATACTCCATCCTACTGTATGGTTACTGTTAGGGAGCCTTTATACCACTCTCACAAGAGATTTCTTGCTTTTATCATTTCTCATGTCTACTCAAACTGCTTCTACACTTTTTTTTAAACTTAGGTCGTACTTCTCTGTTGTGTTCATACCATCACTCATATTTAAGTTGCCTCAAGATAGCACCACCTCGCCTGAAAGTGACGTGTTGTTTCGAGGTGCAAGGGAAAGAGGCCAGAGCTCGGTTTGAGGTTTCAGAAAGCGAGCGTTCACTCCGATCTGTAACCGAGCTTCGTAGAACCAAAACAAATTCCGGTCATTTCCCGGCGCTCGAAAGCGAACAGAAATGGACCATCCAATCTATCACGGGAAAATCAACCGGGAGCTCGGGGAGAAGTTGCTGTGCAGAAACGGCAAGGACGGGAGCTACTTGATCAGAGACAGCGAGTCTCTGCCAGGAGTCTACTGCCTGTGTGTCCTGTGAGTACCAGTCTGTCACCCAGAACCCCGGCTCCCGCTCAGAACCGCTGCAGAAATTCACATTGGAAATATATCGCGTACAATAAACCCCTCGCCTCAAATGCACTATTGAGGCTTCTCCCCCGTCTCAGCATAGATTCAGTGCAGAAAGGAGAAAGCTCCCATTCAGATACGCGAGATTTGCGCATCTTAAATTATTATTCAGAAATGAGATTATTAACTTGCTCATTGCCACTCAAACCCCAACATATCGCTCTCCGTTTGGTCCAGTTGGGAAGTTTTACTTGTGTTAGTCCCGGAATGGATCCTAGTGATCCACTGCTTCTACAGCTGACAACCCGGTCTAAGCGACAGCAAGTCCTGTTTCATAGGATTAGTCCCTTTCACCAAATTGACAAACAAAATGCAAGTTTTGTTTTTCAAATTTCTCCCCTTTAAGTAGCTGTAACTGGTTAAGAACAACGTAAACATCCCCGCCCTGCCAGTATTTTAGATTGTCCTGGCATGCAGTCTGCAGTTTGAACTGCCAGGGGAGGACAACGTGAAGCATTACAAGAGATGAGAAAAAACAGATAAATGCTCGAAATCTGCAACTCGATAGAAAATGTTAAAAGCACACAACAGGTGCTCAACATCCGAGACAGGAAACAATTATTAGCTGCAAAAGCAAAAACATGAACTCAATTTCTCTCTACATATGCTGTCTGACCTGCGGAACATTTCCAGCATTGGTGCTATGGTTAGTGGAAACCTGAAAAAAAGGAAAATGCCGGCAATACTCAGCAGATCAGACAGCATTTATTGGGAGAAATTGAGTTCATGCTTTAAAGTTAAATGAACTTCTTCAGAACCGTGTTTGGCGTGGCACGTGCTAAGTATTTCCAACGTTTTCTGTTTCTGTTTTGGCCCGAATTAATGCTTTGGTTGGGGTTCCTCGCATAGCTCCCCGTCAAAACGTTAATTAGCATACCTTTTGATCTTCTCATATTGACAGACTTGCTATTCTGAAGGAGATAGTGAGAACTGCCGATGCTGGAGTCAGAGATAACAACAGTGTGGAGCTGGAGGAGCTCAGCGGGCCAGGCAGCATCTGAGGAGCAGGAAAGTTGACCCTTAGAAAAAAGAAGGGTCGCGATCCGAAACGTCGACTTTCCGGCTCCTTTGATGCTGCCTGACCTGCTGCGTTCCTCCAGCTCCATACTGTGTTGTCTGCTATGCTAAAGGCTTCTGCGTTGAAGGATGAGGGAAGAAACAAACGGCTACGAAATTGCCTCTCTGCTCGCAGAGGAGTGAGCTTCATAATTCGAAAGAACCAAGTCCATTTGAGCAGAGAGCAAACTTGATAAACCTTCCATTCAGCGCATAGAATCGTTGAATTGTGCAGCACTGAAGGACACCAGTTGAGTCATGGTGTATCTGACAGCTCTTTTGAATTTAGAGTTCGTGTATAGAGTGAATTATGAGGGTTCCTGTGGTAGTGTCCCTACCTCTGAGTCAGGAGGCCCAGGTTCAAATACCACCTGCTCAAGAGGTGTGTAATAACATTTGGAACAGGTTAATTAGGAAAACTGTCTAGAGTGAACTGTGCAGGGTTTCCCTCAGGATTACTGAACGTTCCCCCAAAACTAACCCCAGTGAAGCCTTGCAAAACCAGCTGACCTCTGTGTGCAAGTTCTTGGTAGGTGACAGAAATGCAGTTTTACAAAATTCATCCTCAAAACTGCTTTTATAATTATGCAGTTTGAGGTATGTCAAGATAAAATCACTAAGTAAGCAATACCAGAGACACCTAGAATTGACCATTGCGACATGTGTCGGGGCTGTTTTCTCATTGATAGGAGAATGTGAGAAAAATAAATCCATGCCACAGATTAACCTAAGATACTAAATAACTGTATAGCAGTGAAGTTTTTGAAATAGAGGCTAACTTCTTACAATTGTGGGTAGTATGTTCAACTGCTGTAATTTTCTTGTTTTCTCTCCCTTCATCTTTTGAAGCTACTATTTCTTGGAGAAATGTTCCATGGTTCCATGGGCCAGGCTGACCTCTGGTATTGTATCCTGTTATGAGTCTGAGCAGTGAGTCAGCAAGTTATTCAAAAATTGGAGATGATTCTGTTTCTATCATGTCCTATCTTTGACGCAGTAACATTTTCTATTATGCTCCACTGGAAAGGAATCAGAAACAAGAATCTATGTAAGGGACTAGGACAATATACCTAATTTCAGGGTATTCATTCAGTCCTTGTATCCTTATCTTTGGGAGAAATTGCAATTTAAATAATCCCAAAGCTTCTGATGTCATTATCTTGGCTAATCTTCTCAAATGTCGATGATTGATTAGATTGATTAAATTTGACTTCTTATTTATTTCTTTGCTGCTAATTTCCTGGTTTACTCAGAACTTTCCATATTTAACTGTTTCAAAATATTTCAAGTAAGTTCTCATATAAACAGATATTGAATAGTGTACAACTCTGCTGAAGACGACATGCCTTTTTTCAAGACTGTGCAGCTTAAGCTTTTCTTTTCATATTTTACCTAAGGCATCATAAATCATACTGTAGAAATTGCCATTTAAAATTTCAAGAAGATTTTACTTTTACATTGCACAATATGCAACATGAATACAAATGAATATCAGAATACAAATTTTGAAAGTAATCTATAGGTTCACTTCTCATTATTTAAAGCAGTGTTCTAATTCAAACTTCTTCAAGTAAAAAGATAACATTCCACCACCATCAAGGGAAATTTAGTATCCAGATTGCAGACATATACATGCTCAATTCCCATCAACATTTTTAATAGCAGAATTAAATATTGCAGCAGGGTTTATTGTGTTTACTCTGCCTGAGGAAACTTAACATCTAATAAGTTTCTCAGTTTAAAATGAGGAATTGTACAATTGAGAGAAGAGAAACCATTTTAGACTAAAAATTTGTTTCATTTCCTTCTGTCAACAATTGGGAATTTGGAATCCCGTAAAGTCTATTAATTTATCTGCAATACTCTTTGAATCTGGACTCCAAATGACATTTATTTAGAATTAATAACTATTAGCTACTTAATCATATGTAATATTTTACTCTGGTACAAATTTATTAAACAGAAAACCATATATTTCTAGCATACAGTCTTTCCAGTCCTTTGAGCACTGAGGAGATAAACTATAGCGATTGATCTATGGCACAGATTGACATACATTCAACCTCAAGCTAGCCTGACATAAAACTGTGAGCTTAACACTGCCTTAGGATACAGGGGTGTTCTGCTTTTGCTCCAAAATAGATTTAATTTATAAATCATTCAGTAGTTTCACTGACTAAAACATACTTTTTTCTGTATCTACCAAGTTGAAAGCATGCCAATGGTTCAAGACAGTTTCATTCCTTGCTTTATTCCGGCATATAATTGTTATCTGTCGCACTAAACAATTTCCGATATTAGTCTATAGTTACTATGGGCAGAACAGTTATAAAGGGACAAGTGCCGTGAAAGCGCTGAGCAGAACAAAATAAAACTTAGTTATTAATACTTGTCACGCTTTTCTGTAAAAATAGATAGACGTTTAGCATTTTGGAGGGACTTTTTCTTGTTGAACATCAAAGGAATATTTACTACTTTGTTCTGCAAACTTCAACCTAGCTGCTTTGTCTTAAGCGGTCCTTTCATACGTCGCATTCCAAACTTCTCTTCAAAAATAAGCCATAACCATTTTCAAATGTTGTTTTGAAAATGTATTTAAATATAATACATCAGACAAGTAATAATTTTTATAAGTTTTATAACTTGCTTTGCTTCTGTTATAAATCTACTATTTATTTTTTTCAGACTGATTAAAATATGCAACTTATCCTGAAACTGACAGAAACTTTCATGTTTTATAGAGTCAGCCCATCTGAAATCAATGGTTTTAGGAATTGAAAATCCCAATTGTGCAGTCATTGCGCTAGATTTAGCTCCATGCTTGTCTTCCTTTTAACTAATGGACAGTACTCGGCTTTTTGAGTGTATTATAGGATTAATCTACAGTATTTGTGTGCTGTGGCAGTTGAGTTGGAGGAGTTCATTGTCAGGATCAGTCCATATCAGGAAAAAGTTAGAATTGAGAAAGATCTGTGATGAAAAATAGTATTGCCAATTGAAGCACATGGAGCTGTGTTTTGTAAAAGTCACACATGTTTTCAAGTTACTTAAATTTTAATCTAAAAGGAGAAAACCAATGAATTTTTGTTGAAGACCGAAGTTTCATCACAATATAACTCTAAGTCTAGATTTGCCAAACAAATGGAAATCAAAAATATTGTGCGCACAGTTTTAGTGCTCAAGCCCTAATGGTGTAAGATTGAAGAAAACATCACTTTTAGAAAATTGTAAAATTTAGTGTCTCTTTGAGACAAATCTATTATCGTTTTCTTACCATCGATTTTAAATTATAACAGTGAGATGTTAACTTCAAACTAACCATTTTTGAATTCTAGGTAATGGTAAATCATATGACAGATTTATTACATTTGTTTACAGTTAAAGCAGAAAGCTTTTTTTTGCTCTAGTTAACTTCAACAAAACCTTGCATTTGTATAGGACCTTTAATACAGTGAATCAACAAATGGTGTTTCACAGGGTTGTAATAGGAGATTGAAGTAGGACATTTGGATCCTCAAACTTGCTCAGCCATTCAACTAGATCATGGCTGATGCCATTTTCCCACATTATCCCCCTACCATGATAGTTCTAATATCTAGAAATTTATTGGCTTCTGTCTTGAACATGATCAGTAACTGAACCTTCACATGCCTGTGGAATTCCAAAGATTCATCATATCTGAGTGAAGAACTTCCTCTTCATCTCTTGTACTAAATGGGCTACATTTTATTTGGAAACTATGTCTGCTGGTTCTAGACACCTCTTCCTAGCCTGGGGAAACATCTTCCTGCATTAACTCGGTCAGTCCCTGTAAGAATTACTATCAAACAAAACTTGAAACCAGGCCACAT